CAACGAGTTCTTCCTTGGCTATACTCATCTTTGTGGGTTTTTGTCTTGCGTTCTTTCTAATGCTTGAGGATAAGTTTATCTGGATACCTATTTGCTCTTAAAGCCTCACTGATTCTCTACAACTTCTCGGTGATGGTGTCTGGTTTGCACATTCTGTGTGCACGGTAGACAAGAGTGCGGACTAGATTCCATTTGTACTGTAGTGGTACCGCACTATACTAGTTGGTCTACTATTGAGTCGAAGTTGGTGTTCTATACGCTGTTCCGGTGCTCGATCCATTGGTGTTTCTGATAATGTCAACCTCCAGAAGCGGTAGTTGGTTTCCGGACTTGTGCACACAGGTGAAGTGTAGATTCTGATGCATGCTTTCAACAGGTTCACAACTTGCGTTTTCCATTTGCAGAGTATAAATATGTCGTCCACATAGCCTATATACATCTCGACTCCAATGTTGCGCGATCTTAGTGGGCTATGCTCCAATTTTGCCATGTAGACATCTGAAACAATTAGATCCCCTTAGTAATTTGAATAATGCCGTAAGAAGACGAGCACTGGCAGATGTCAACATTTCGTATTGTCTCTTCAGTGCCAACACAATAACATGAAAATATATAAGACGACTGGTAGGCTGAGACCGGAACAAGTTAGAAAAGGGTAGATGGCAGACGTGACACCCTTACGCCCAGGGCATCCGCAGGCTTACGAACAGCTGTTTCTGTACACCGAGTGCGGGTTTGATACGGCTGATCGCGACTGCCTCTGCAAAACGTAGGAAACGGGCGTTAGCATGTCTTAACACGATTGTAAACATTTTGGCCGGATCAAACTGGTGACAGGTGGCCAGTAACTGCCTACCTATGAATGAAACAGGTGGTTTACGTGAACAGAGGGTATGGGCAACCGACGACTGGAGATTTGACGCTGCAACCATTTAGGTACATGTTCCCTTATTCTGGAGTTCAACGATCTCTTGGTACGGCCTATGTAGTGTATACCAAAACTACAAGTAAATTGGCAAATACAATGTGAGTTGGCGCCAACAGGTTGTCTTTCCGTCATTGGGGTAACAGGTATTCGATTAGTCCGGTTGATAAGGACAGTATCGGCAGCATACTAAGTCCTCTGGAAGTTATGCGATTCATTGTCCTCATATTGGCAAGATCTCCCTTAAATGGTAGCTCGATGTAGATCTTTTTTTGGACACTGTCGGAACCTTCTGTCCCAGCATCCTCGCCTGAATGTTTGTCAATGAATCTACTTGGATAGCCAAATTTCAACAGTGTATCCTTGAGCGTGTTTATCTCATCATCTAAACTGTCGGCAGTGCATATTTTCCTTGCACGGTTGGATGGCGTCTTGACTAAGGTCCGCTTGTACCGCATTGGGGAGAAGCTGGTAAAGTGCAGGTACTGCCCTGACCAAGTCGGTTTTCGTTAAACCTCTTTTGATGAACCCATCTGATCAAACCAACACGTCCAGATATGGGAAGTAGTTGCTTTTCTCTATTTCGCTGGTTACTTTCAGATGTAGACCTCTGCTAAAAGGGGTCCAAATAGTTATCCCATGGCAACTCCTTCTATCTGACGACACATCTCCCCGTTGAAGGTGAACTGCACGTTTAAGGTGCATCTGTGTAACACTTCCTTCAGAAGGTCTTCCGGGAGTTTTATAGGTACCTTAATTTGTCGTACTAGTTCGCAAACATGTTCCGCTGTTTCCAATAACCGTTTATTCGTAATCAATGATTGAGCGTCAAATGATGAAATCCTTTTGTTGGTAAGGCTCACTTCCCTTATCCTCTGAATGAAATCGAAAGTGTTTTTCACGCAGTAAGTGCAGATGGTTTTAGGTAGCTGTTCCAACTTCTCAACCATCCATTGAGCCATCAAAGGTTGCGGAGAACTAACCCTGTCCCATATGGGACGCATTGGAGCTCCTTTCTTCTGAACTTTAGGGAGGTCGTCCAACCGCGGTAGGTGTCCGCCTGAAGATCTCAGCTTTTCGAATTCGCTCATAGTCGGAATTATTTGCGCGTTTACTGTTATCTTATAGTCGGATTATCTTATTAAAGAGTGTCTCAGGTGCTGAGTTATCTGCATTGGTTGATTATGACGCGGAGCAATGAAAGTGGCAAGGAAGTTGTTTCGCTGGTATCGCCTTATCCTTGCCCAATAGCCAGCTGTTAGTGACCTTGTGTTGTTGACAAGGTGTGTGCGTTCTGGCTATAAATGTTTACTTAGGGCAATTAGGTTCTGCACTAGATTTCTATTCTTCCTCGCTTACTGTCCTTCGTCCCCTAGTTCATTGTGGTCATACGGTAGCGAGAATCAGTTCGAATTCCCAAGCTAACGCTGCTGTTTGTTGTCATTCATCGTTCATTTTGTAAAATGGGCTAGAATACTTCTTATTTAAGTCAGCGCGATATCAGTCTGATCTCAACTACCTCTAACCTGCTGACGTGTATGATTGTGCGATTACGTACTAATCTCCAGGTAAGGTGAATCGGTGAAAGCCAAGCAAGCTTCATTCTCTGATGGTTAATAGATCCGACGTCTTTTCCTCACCAAGTGCCCCAACATTATCATACGGGCATACTATCCTATCTTATCTCATTGAATGAGTGCTTCCTTCTGTATTGGTAATTGAACCTGTATGTTTCACTGTACTGAGCACACCTGGACAATTTCTTTCTGTCACCACACTGGAGACTGTTTAATTGTCTATGCAAACGTAATCCTGAGTGTGATACGGTAAGTGAACTTTATCAGGCTTGTCCTATCTCTCTTCTCTCCTGCAACGCTCTCCTTTTAATGCCCGTGAATGACTTGCTCCATCATCCTCCTGCTTCTGATTGGATAGAAGCTCTGTTACGCAATAGCCTGTCAAACCCAGAGTCAATGGACGACGTGGCTCTTTTCGGATTGAGCGCAACTCCTTTGCAAGCGCTACTGAGTGAACTGATACGTAGCGCTGTATACTCTTGCATGTGTTTTGCATCTCTTGACTATCATCGAACAACCACTCGGGATCATCAGCTGCTTTGTTTGTCTGTTAAGCACATCGCTTCCGACAGCCACGTCCCCGAAAAGAGTTCTGTACTTATGTGGAAGGCTCACGTGGTTTTTCTACGGGTTGTCGCTTATGGAAACGGCTAGGTGTAGGCGTATTGACTATAGGAAGGATTTATAGCGTCATGGTACGGTCATTGTTAGTGTATGAATCATGGGGCGTGAACAATGAGTACATTAATATAATGATTTTGTTTGATCACCATGCTTCCGAAACAATCTTTATTTCTGGCGAGTGATTGTTACCGAAATGCATCATCTGGTGCATGACAGAATACCACCCAACTTTTTGTTTGCATGCCTGTCCCACCTGAGTCGTCTCCGTTCGGCATGCCTGCAGCCTGATTGTTTCGGCTTGCACTGTTTCTCATTATTGCACCTGGTTGGATGGAACCCCGAGGAGGTTACACAATTAGATGGCGAAGGGGATCGATGTGACTCTTTGGATATCTGCTTGTTGTTGACACTCACCGTTCCCATGGATGGTATACATATATATATATATATATATATATATATATATATTGCGTTTGACCAACAAACAATTGGCCGAGTGCCATAACACATGCGTAACAACCAAAAAGAAGTGAGCAATGGCAGTCAGAGGAGAACTGTCTCAGCATGTTCGCCTTCGAGCACTATTTATGGCCATATCCGATAACGTTTCGAACCGGGTGTGCTAATTGTCCCTGAGCTCCCAACCCGAGATGTTGGAACGCCCCAGTGTGATCAGCTGCAGTGTCAGCGCCTTGATACCCCTTACCCATGTTGTGAGTTTTCCACCTTTCCATCGCTTCCAATCAACGCGGGAACATTTAAACAAATCTCAGCGGGGCAACCAGTGTGCATGTATATGGAGAACGTGCCAGACCACCGCAGGGTACGTAAGGAAGTTATAAAATTCCGTAATCGGCTGAATCTGTTTGACTTGAAGATCCAGCGTCGGACGTGGTCATGAATAAGGTGATGCTCCGGAGGTAGCTGGCCTGTAGCCTTAAGGATCACAAGCCTGCCTTGCAATCCGAGGACGCGTGTTCGAGTCTGCGTAGGAACCGGGCGACTCTCGCAGCATCCTTAGGCTATGTGCGACGTGGTATTTACGTAGCAGTGGAGCGTCGGTACTGCGTATTGGCGTACTGCTGATGCCGGAGACAGCGGTAATCAATGACCGTCTTTGAACTTCGCTCACTCCAAAGGGCCAGATCTCACAACCATACAGTATCACTGTTGGTTATGTAGCGTTGTAGACTCTGCTTTTTAGTGAAATGTTGAGATCACATCGGCATCAGAGATATCGAAGGTTAGCAAAAGCTATTCCGGCTTTGGATATGCGTGTCTTGATAGCATCCATTAATCTACTCACGCTAATGCAATTCCCAAGCTAAACAAACTTGTGGACTACCTCCAACGAAGAGCCGAAGTGGGTGAGGGTGGGCGCAGCTTCTAGCTTACTTTTGGAATGGAGAACGTCATTCTGAACTGTGTTATAGACATCTCCATCCTGGGCAGCCTACGAGGGATGACAGGTTACGGTAGGGTCGTCAGCACACACTCCAATCAACGGACCCACTTTGATGACTCCATCGGTGGTTAGATGCGAAGTCAGTGACGCTTTTGCATTGTAGCCTCTATATTCCAGGCTCCTAACTGTCCTATGTGTGAACTTCAATGCTATTTGATTTCCGGTTAACAGTTCTTATCGATCTGAGGACGCTTGTCAAAATAACAAATGGTTCCGCTGCGTTCTGGTGCAAACTAAACTAAACTTACATTTACTTCGTTAGCCAATCTGTTTGCACGCTGAGAGGCTAATTTTGTTTTGTTCACTACTGCGGTTCAGCACGCAATTTAAAATTTACATGTGTCTTACCACCCTTTATCAAAGAACATTTTATTATTGTTTTTTTTTCAAACTTATTTCTGTACTTTAGCTCGGCATCGATGGTGTGGCTGACAACGACTCCCCTGATGCTACTTCTGAGGAACTAGAGTCGGTTGAGATCGGGATCCGGGTAGGATCCGATTACTCAAAGCCTAAGGAACGTCGCAGCACTCAGTATGAATTGCCATTGGATCAAGGGCGATCAGCGACAGATACAAATGGTTATCAGGAATCTGCAAACGGGGGCCCACAAGAGAAGGTTCCACAGACGTTAGACACGAATGATAATTGTGCTGAAGAGATGGATTCTGCGATGAAAGACATGGCGAACTCGTTTCGAGATATGGAGGAGTGCTTGGACCAGGCAAGTGTATGATAGGTAACACATCCTCATTTATTTCGGGTTAACTGTCGCTTTCGCTTGAACTACTGCTACTACCTATCATTAAACATGTGGGTTGTAGCAGGTAGGGTTCGGTAACATTACTGTTGTAAATACCAAGATACGAGTTTCACTAGTGATCTTTTCCCTTTGTACACCATCAGTTGGTGATGGAGGGACGACAAATAACCCTCACAGATCTCGGCCGTTTAAACAGACTTCGAGACGCTATGGATCAAAATTCGAAGGTCGCTCTTCGGACTGGACGGGAGATTTGTCGTTTGGCGGCGACCAGTTCGCAGTCGCAGCCCAATCGCTCTACGACTGATAAAGCACGTCAATCGCAAGACAGTGAACCCAAACAGATGACGGAAGTGCGCATCCTCAGCCAACGATTGGAAAAACTTAGTGAGTCCTCTTTTCTCGAAGATCCCATTTTCTTTGCAAAGCTACGAGACGATGGGTCTTGGCCATATTTTTTGATTTTTTTTCTTCGCAGACCGAGAACTTGAAGATAGTCAACGTCAGCTGGAGGCACATCGAGCCGAAGTGGCCAAATTCGGTACTGTTAATGAGTCCTTAGAGTCTCTGAAAGCTCATCTACAGCGGGAATTGCGTCAGCGCGAGTCTGAATGTGAAAGGTGAGCCGAAATGCTGGTTCAATGAGCACAGCGTTAGCTAACTATATTTCATCTATATCACATCATTCGGTGAGTTCTCGCACCCCGTTTGACGTTTACATTACATAACCTGGGGTCTGATTATTGTCTGCAAATGGCAAGCGTACGGATGATGATCTATCTGAAGACATCCTATGTGTACGTCACATTTGATGGCTATATACCAGTACTTACTGGTCGCCGCCGCCGCCGCCGCAGTGGAACAAGAAAATTGTCCATTCTATTACTGATTCACGAAGTTCTGAATATTTAGCACAATTTCAAGTAACTCTTTCCATTCTCGCGATACTTAAACATCGGATACTATCCTCATACATAGAAGTAGTACCTCTCAATTCTTTCTCATATAAATGTTTACCTGTACGGTCTCTCTGTACACGTAGCTTAAACCAATTGTAGTTAATTTCGATAACATTTTCTTGTTTGTGCCATTTCCGTAAAGTATACCTTCTGACCTCATGAACTTATCTCGGATTCTTTTGTAAACAACATATTTCATATGCTCATTAATTTAAGATTTATGTCACCGTTTCCTTATGTATTACTCAATTTATTTTCTTTGTTATTTTTCTCAAGCGATTGGCTGCTGCTTGATATCCCCGGTGTGGCTGCGCTTGATGTGCATGTTGGCAAGGTGCCTACCTGTCTGTTACCCACTAACTCGTCCATACTGGCTCCAGGAGACATTTGGTCGTTGTTGGAGGGGACGGGGTGCACGGTCCTTGTGGCCTTGTTAGGATCAAAGAGGGGTTCCGTGCACTTAGTGCGGAGCGGACTACGGTCTAGCTACCGGCTTGTGTGTGCTTGATTCCCAAATACAGCGTGTTTGTGTTTGCCTGTGAAGGAGTGTGGGCCGGCTCCGTTGATGAAACGTGGCTCCCATCCACATGCCTCCCGGTCTTATTCCTCCGGGTTTACACTGGATATGGTGTGTGTGGTTGGAGCTGTGGGTGGTGCAGCGCAAGCCACCCATGGTCCCTCTGTAGGCGCAGGCGTACTGTGACTGATCACAGTGACAGGCTAATCCGAAACCGGATGCCGCCAACCAGTACCTCTCAAGCACGACTTTTCAAACTTTTCCTAATCGCTTGGCCCCGTAGAAACACCGAGCCAGTGCGTTTTGGCCCATACTAGCGAATACACTTGAGCGCTTGCTAATTGCTTTGCTCTGATGCACTGTTTTGACAGGCTGAATGCTCACATACACAGTCTGGAATCTAAGATGGCTGAAGAACGAGCGGTACTTCGGACGCAGCTACAATTAGCTGAGGATAATTTGATGCAAATGCGCGAGACCAAGGAAGCACTAAAGCGCGCAGCCCGGGCCCAAAGAAAGCGTGCCGACGAAGCAGAGGCTGCACTTTCTGAGGCACTAAATCGTTTAAATTCAGACGAAACCGCACCAAGACGATCTTCGGTAGGTTTGTAGGAACTTTCACAACTTAATCTAAGTAATGTGTCTTTTCTTATACCTCTCTGTGTGCAATTGTTTTTTTATTTCTTTTTGCAATCCCATGGTAAGGATGCTGATCGCGCCGATGAAAGACCAGACCGTCGCCCGAGCAGAGGGAAGAAGACGAGTCGATCAGGCTCCCAAACTCGAATAGTTAGAGAAATGAGCTCCAGAAACGTGTCACCCGCCAGTGCTAGACTGAGCGTTTCCCGAACTTCTATCCTACAGGAGGTAAGTGCCATTTTCTCAAAGAGTGCCTACAGCATTATTGTCAAGAAGGAATCTACCCGTTGCATTTGTCTGTGGTCACGTCTTTCCTGAGATCATAACTTTCTTGTATATCATTGTCCTTTTTCTTATCTTTTCACTTGTTCATACACTGAATTGACTTGAATAACCAATAGTGGTTTTTACACTCACTCAGAGACTGTTTGGATTTGATCATGTTATAACGCTGCACCCACAATCGACCGGTTGATTCACGTCTGCTGGTAAATCTGCGCCCTTACGCCTGCTCTGTTTGACGTCTTGACAAACCCGACAGGAGGGAAGACAAAAGAAGACTCAGTAGACCAGAGTTGTATTAGGACAGAGAACGTTCATATTTATATGTCGGTCTCACCAATCCTCCAAACATCGCCTGTCGGATTTGGCTGTAAGCCCACGCTCCACAGTTGATTGTCCGCTCCGTCTGGCCAGTTCGCCGTCTTGCTCGGGCACCCGAGTCTTTATCCGCCTACCCGGGGCATATCAACGCACCGAATATCTGACGCGCGATTTCATCAGCTTTCGCCTGGACCCTGGTAACATGCTCACAGGGTCTGTCCCAAGCACGATTTGAGGCGAACACGCGCGCGTTGGCACTCAGCTTTCCCGCCCAGCTGTCAGATCACCTCAGTTAATCGAGAAATTTCAGGTAGCATTTCCGGGTACATTTTCATGCAATTGTCATATTTACTTGGTCCATACCTAGTGGTGTGTGTGCCAAGTGCTACTGAATATTGCAATTAGGCAGCGAGAAGATACACATCTGTGTTGCTCCGTCGTAGTTAGATCGGGCACCTGCATGGAATCACGTCGATGATCCTGCGCAGTGGCAACCTATTACAGCTGCACTTCATCTTATCTGGGTGCGATACGCTCCTGTAATCCGCAAAGTGGGTGTCGACGAATTTCTTAAATTCCGACATGGCTTTCTCCTCGACTATTGTCTCCGGCAACTTGTTCCAATATTTCCCCACTCGACGCTCGAAGCTTCAAATCCGGTACCACCAGTTTTGTACTGGTGTCCGCTTGTGCTGCTTGGTGCACTAACGTGCAACAGGGAACTGCCCAGGTATAATATCCGGCGCGTCATTATGAGATCAACTCGAAGTCGACGATATGACAAGGTATAGAGCCCTAGTCTCCTGCATCGGTCCTCGTACGATATACCCCGTAAACTGGGGATGAGCCGGCTAGCTACATGCTGAATCCGTTCGTCTCTGCACCTCGCCTATTGTGATCGCACAATAGGCGGGTGAGCCGTATTCAAGTCCCGGTCTTATCATGGAAGAGAACAGATTGGTGGCAAACTCCTCACACCAAGTTCAGAAACTGCGTCCAAGTTCCCAAAGCAGGTGTAGTCCGTTTCCGCACCGACTGTTCGTCTTATCGACGGACTTCAGATCACAGCGTGAGAGTACACCTAGATCCTTTACGGAGCTTGTGGGATGCAGGGGTTGGCCGGTATGGTGTACTGCGCCCAGTACCATCCTTCCCCAGATTCATAAATGACGATTTGACTGGGTTGCTCGGCAGATCCATTTCTGCAGACCCCAGGGACAGGTGGTCGAGGTCCTGCTGAAGGACGTCACAGTTGTTGGGCTAACCAATAACCCTCCAAATCATCGCGTCCTCTGCAAACAATGCGTAGAGCGATCGAAGAAGCTGAGGTACTTCGTTGATGTGGATTAGGAACAATGTTTGGCACTTGTCAGACGTGACTACCACTCATGACTTGAGTGCATTGCGACCGTCAATGGCCGAAGGGGTAACATGTCCTCCTTGTACCCCAAAAAATCACCGATACGGCCTATCTCGCAGTATGCCTAGTCCGCACGCGACTCCTGGTTGTCACGTGGTAGCAAAGCGTCAATACAGCATGCCGCCGTACTGCTGATGCCCTGCTTTGCTTCACCTCTGTTACGTCTACATCAGGAGGGTGCAATTGTCACACGCTGAAGTGACATAGAGCACACAGACTACTTTCTACACAACTCCACCCAAGCATTTTCTTTGGGTACGATGACGTTGAGTCGTATACCTCGGATATTTCCCAGGATAGCTACAGGGATAGCACTGGTGACTTCATTGTATGCCCATATTGTGACATTCGTTTATGTGCACCATTTTCACTTCAACTTGGACGTTTTACACAATTAGATCTTTTGCAGCCCACATTGGACATTTTACAAAACCAATGGGACCTTTTGCAAACCAAATTGGACACATTGCATTCTAAGCGGGAAACCAGCAATTTGTCAGCAACCAATGAGGAGTAAGGCGACTGGATGATGTTCAGACTACATCGCAGTCATACTAATGCAACCGAATTGTGTAAGCAGCGGGTGCCACTGCAAATTCTTCGCTTGATCCTGTACCTCGATCAAAGGCGGTGACGAAGTTTCCCCCCACTCTAAGTTGGACTTAGAGTATCCGCTGTGTCGTTGGGTTGCTACAAGCAACCTCCATTGAGACCTCGGTTCACTTGAGGCGGACCTCGGTAATTCCGGTTACAAGGACCGTATGTCAAATGTAATCTCGGTGTTGCATTAGCCGTGAACCACTAGGCTCCGATTTCCACCCCAGCTCAGGCTATCTCCACCTGATGAGTTCAAACCAGGACGAAACCGCGGTCGTGGGGTGCCAGTGTTGGGATGAGCAACACCAAGATTACGTTTCCCCCACTCTCTCCCCATTAGCCTTCGCGTAATTTGTGTGCCTGTGCTTGTACGCATAAACCTGTGTAGCTTTGCGAATATTAGAAAGTCAGACTCCTGAATCGCGTAGTCGATTAGGACTCGACCAAATCTTACCTAGCTTTTGATGGTCATTGTGAAGCACGCGTTTTGTGGACGGATTGCAATGCGTTTTGACAATGTGGATTGCGATTCCCCTGGAAGTAAACTTTAGCCAATTTGATCACTGGGACCGTAACTGATGAAGCATGTAGGGGGTGACCCATTTTCCTCGGGTCTCCGTATAAGCCTTCGCGTACGTTGTAGGGGTGTTTTGGCTAACCTCTGCAGCTGCACGACTATCGTGACAGTGTGGGTTGCCTCGACTACACCAAATCCGGCATCGCTTAACTAATTTTTGTGCTGCACGAAACGACCAAAATGAACGACGAACGACAATCGCCTAGTGATCGAATTGGCCAAGGTTTACTTCCATGGGAATCGCAATCCACATTGCCATTGCGCATCGCAATCCATTCACAAAACGTGTGCTTCACAATGACCATCCGAAACTAGGTAACATTTGGTTGAGTCCTAATAGACTACGCGATTCGGGAGTCGTTTGACTTTCTAACATTTGCACGGATACATGGTTGGCGACATCCGGTTTCGGATTTGCCTGTCACTGTGGCCAGCCACAGGACGCCTGCGCCTACAGAGGGACCATGGATGGCTTGCGCTGCACCACCAACAGCTCCAACCACATACCCCATATCCAGTGTAAACCCGAAGGAATAAGACCGGGAGGCATGTGAATGGGAGCCACGTTTCATCAACGGAGCCGGCACACACTCGTTCACAGGCAAACACAAGCACGCTGTATTTGGGGAATCAAGCGCACACAAGGCGGTGGCTGGACCGTAGTCCGCTCTACACTGAGTGCATGGAACCGCTCTTTGATCCTAACAAGGCCACAAGGACCGTGCATCCCGTCCCCTCCAGCAACGACCAAATGTCTCCTGGAGCCAGTATGGACGAGTTAGTGGGTAACAGACAGGTAGGCACCTTGTCAACATGCACATCAAGCACAGCTACACCGTGGATATCAAGCAACAGTCAATCAATAACATGATCAAGTAAGATATATCTGTTAAAGAATACGGCTGTGCAGACATAACTCTTCGCTAAATTAGCATATGAAGTAAGTTGGTTAGCAACGAATCCGCGATAAGTACTAAATGTCCAAAACTTACTCAAAAAATGCTACAAACGCAATTAAGTTAACGAAGATAACCACAGTTAGTGTAAACAACGTGGTCAGTTAATTGGAGATTTTTCAGGTAAACATAACAAACTAAATAAATTGGAATGAAATTTCTCCAGCTTAAAAAGACCTGACTTAAGAGTTGGTTGGTTTAGCCAAACTGCGATGAAGGAGCATCATGAATGCAACAGCCTCAGCAAGGGGCACGCACAGCTACATAAGTTAATGCGTACAGGCATAGGCACACTAACTACACGAAAGCCAATAGGGAGAGTGGGGGGAGCTTCGTCCCCGCCATTGATAGGGGCTCACGATTAAGCGAAGAGTTTTACCGTGACACCTGCTGTTTAGACGTTTCGGTTGCATAAAGCATAACTAAATGTTGTCTGAACGTCGTCCAGTCGCCTTACTCCCCATATTTTGCTGACTTTCTGCTTAGCATGCAATGTGTCCAATTTGGTTTTGCAAAATGTCCAACTTGTTTTGCAAAACGTTCAATGCTGTTTGCGAAACGTCCAATATTGTTTGCAATACATCCGATTTAAAGTGAAAATGGCATATATTCGCCTTGACAAAGCATGTAGCATGAATGAGATTTTTTTAAGAGACTAGCTCGACAAACCCCAAATCCCACTAATTACTAGGGCAAACCATTGTTGCACAGGCTGTTCCATTTCTTAGATCTGCTTCGAAGGTTCTTCTGCTGATCATTCCATAATGACAACGTTTTGGCCTCGCGACTTGAAGCGGGCCATCTTACGTCGTTTTAGACATGTTGATCTGATTGCTCACCTACTCCAGATCAACTCTATTGTATCGTGTCATGTGCTACAAATGTGGCATACGATTGCTGTTGCTTTTTTGCACACAACGTCTAAGTCCACAGTCGTATCCTCGCATCATAAGCGCGAACTCAGCTCTCTTACTATTTACACTGCTAAATGAGTTGTCGGGGCAAATTTCCACTAGGCACCTAACATCATTTTTCAAATCACTGAGCAGGTTACTTCGCATATCAGCAAAGCCCA